CTAAAAAGTGGGTATTGCAAAGTTTCAGGAAATCCTTTACTAGCTGAAAATAGAAACTAAATGACATCCATATCCCAATACCTTTCATTGTGTGTGTATAATTTATGGTCAGGCTATCGCTTTCCTTAGATTATCCAGAAGGTAATACACACCAAAGTCAAGGCAGTTCTAAGAAAGCCGGTAAAGTGCTCAGTTCAAGCTTCTTAAAAGGCTAATGATGCTTTCACAATGGAAATGTTAAGATCGCTTTTTAAGAGCCTCTTGTAGAAACTGTTTCCATTTGAAAAGAAAAAAATTAAAAAATAAAAAAAACCCCAAATACCCCTGACCATTAGCTACTCTGAGTACCTGCAAATTATACCTGCATTCAGAAAAGTAGGCAGGTATCAGCTGATGAATTTCAGGACAGAAGCCGAGATGATCAACTAAATAAACCATTTATCAAACGACAGGGACCTTTTATCTGATTTTATTTTGTAGCGCAGCCAGACATAGTTTAAAAACATAGACAGAGCTGCCAGAATGGAGGAGCTAAGTATGGTTATAGAAAAGAATAAAACAGTGCCCCAAATGAACCCAATTTTGTTTAGTAGGATATATTGCCTTCATTTTCCTCAAACATTTCTCCAAACATTTAAGCAAGAAGCACAGATTCTTGTGTTCACCCTATTTATCAAGTGGATCCAGGCACTATTTCTGAAAGCTCAGTGTAGTAAGTATAGAGTAAATAAATTAGATAATGAGATTATTCCACAGGGGTAAAACTAAGCTTTCTACTAAAATAAAATAATTTCCTCTGTGTGCATGTCCATGCTAGGATGTGGATCTGAGATAATCCAGACTTAAAGAACATAGTTTAGCAAGCCAGCCATCTATCCATACATCCTTTCACTCATCCAAACTCTCACCTATCCATCCATCCATCCATCCATCCATCCATCCATCCATCCATCCGTCCATCCATCATTCATCCGTCCATCCATCCGTCCGTCCGTCCGTCCGTCCGTCTGTCCGTCCATCCATCCATCTATCCGTCCATCCATCTGTCCATCACATTTCGCTGAATACTTGTTATAATCTGGCACTGCAGCAATGGGAATAGGGATGGAACAGAGATCCAAGGAGTCTTTCTTCAGGAAGTGTCTGCTCTGGTAAGGTTCTGGAGAAGCACATGGGTGAGCTAATAATGGAAGGTGTTCCGTGTTCCAGGTGAAGCGTGAGGTCTGCTAACTCTACACTGATGTTATGGAGGGTGCCAGACGCTTGTTTCAGCTGCTCCCACTCCTCAGCGGGGCTCCCCCTCTCTTTTCAAACCCTTCCTTTCACCTCTCAACCGGTAGTTTCTGAGCAGATGTCATGTACTGAGGTTGGGAATATGTTAGGAACAAGCTGGACATAACCCCTTCCCTTCTGAACCGTGGCGTGGAGAGGAGAGCAGGTTAGAGAAGGACTCCTGTCTCAGTTGGCCCCAGGTGGGGAGTCGTGGGAGAAGAAAGCAAGATAACCCAATTGGTTAAAGCCACCATAGTTGACCCTCTTCGTGGGCAAGCTTCATTACAAATGTGTGAAAGGCAGGAGGAGGTGAGCAAACAGGCTCAAGAGAATGCACAGCACTGCCCCTCCCCCCCACTATGTCTTGTGTCCTTTCTGTCTCTTTCTCTGGAAAATACCTCCCATGGGAGATATTCTCATGAAAGGAAATGCACTAAATGAAAACTCAAAATGAAAAGAAAGAAGGAAGGAAGGAATAAAAGGAAGAGACAATGTGCAATCTTTCTGAATAAAAACCACACAGCCATGTGAATCCTAGGGAAGGTGCCGAGTCTCAGTGACATAAAAACACGAAAACTGTGGGAAACAGCACTGGTTAGCTGAGGTGCAAGTTCTGTCCCTTTAAAACGGTTTTCTGCCCTCAGCACACACTGAAGAGAAGCTTACCACAGCGCAAGCACACGGACGAGGCTTGCACAAACATAGGGACATTTCTTGGCTTTGATTGCGCTGTTGTTGCCTGGGTCAGCACTGAACTCTTGTAACCCGCACGAAAAAGTGACGCTCTGGTAACCCGCACGAAAAAGTGACGCGCTTCATTCATTTTCATTGATTTTCCAATTTCAGTTAAATTGCGTTGGTCTTTTCTGGGGGGCTGTTTATGTATTATGGCTACAGATGCTTCTTTCAACTCCCATAATTATATACTTACTGCTACTTAACAGAAGCCCAAATCGAGACCATGAGCTGGAAACATGTCCACAAAATAAAATGTAAAAATTGAATAAAGCACTGTATTATCACTTTGGTTTACAGAGGATTATAAAGTATTTTCTCTTAGAAAAAGGAGGAAGCGGCGACGGAGAGATGATTGCATTTCATCTTTCCTGTGTGAGAACGCGCAGGCACCTTGGGAGAACTTAGGCGGAGGGCAGCTTGTGTGTGAGCAGGTGCATATGCACACTCGAGTGCCAGCGAGCACAGAGACAGCTGGAATCACGCCTTGTCTTAAAGGAGACCATGATAAAATAGGGAGGTTTGGGAAGACAATGGGAGTTAAAGTGAAGAATATGGACTCAATTTCTTTACTGCTTTCCTATTTTTAACTGGAAACACATTTCCTTAGTGACAATTACAGCTTAAATGTAGTTTTACTCTCATTCCCTTTCTCCCTTTAAATAATCTCTCTCTCTCTCTTTTTTTTTTCCCCTTAGATTTTTGTCATAGGGCATGCGTGCTTGCTGGAGAGAGACAGAAAAGGAAAGTGAGAAATCACTCCCCGGGGGGATGGCCACACCACAATCCCATCTCCATTCTCCTCTTGGAATTTTGGGCACACACGCACACATGCCCAGTCAAGCCCCTGGACCTTGGACTTGAACAGGAGGCTTGTCTGTCTGAGATCCTGCACCTAAATCACCACACCACCTTGCTCTCCCTAGCTACTGTATTCCAGTTTTCATGTGTAACCCTCAGGGTCATTCTTGCCTTTCTTCCTCTACACTGACGCACACAGAACTACCTACTTCTTAGGGACGCTCAGACTGCGCTAAGCAGAAGGAACATGGAGGAGCATGTCATGGTCTCTGTTTCAGGAACTCTGCCCCTGTGGCGGCTCGTCCCGTGGAACATTCTGCATGGACAGACACTTCCTCTTCCCATGTTGCCCAATGCAGTAGCCACTAGTAGCATGTGACTACTTAGCCCTTGAAAAGTGACTGAGGAACAACAAACCGATTTCTATATTTTAATTGCAATTAAGATAAACTAAAATTTAAATAACCACATGTGACTAACAGTTGTCATATTGAACGAGACAGATCTAGATTGAGAGATAGGGGTTCCTCTCTGAAGGGACAAATGACAACTTAAACTAGCATATGGTAAAGGCCATGCCATGGCCATGCCAGAGGCTGTGGGACCAATGAGACCATGAGGGAGTCAGGTGGAGGAAGATGGCTCCTGGAGGGGGTTGAGCTAACATAAAATCTCATGAGATGCTACAGAGTAGAAAAGCAGACCAAGGAGAGGGAAAGCCATGCTGGCCCATGGATTTGTTTCATCAGACACCCTGAGGGGGAAATGCACGGAGCCGAAAGGGCAGCCCAACCGCCACCATGGAGCAGGAGACTCTGGAATGGGAGCTTAGGGCTGGGTGGAGGGTGACGGATGGATGGGAAGCCACAGCCGCTGTAGGTCGACTGAGTTTGGAGGACCAAGAGCGCCTTCTACATAAGGTAGCTGACGTGAGCCTCGGAGTGGGCTTGGACTCAGAAAAGGATGGGGCCAGAGGGACACCCTCAGGCAGGGACACACGTGGGGAAGGGCTCACGCTGTTTAACTGGGACAGCTGACACTCGGCTCCACCTGATCGCCATGTCCCGTGCAACTGTGCACATACGGAAACAAAGTTTCTGGAGTTTCTAATTTTCAGAAAAGCTAGAAATCAATTCTTTTTAGACATATGAAATATAAATATTTCAACATGGCAATTAATTGTGAAAACTTTAAAACACCATGGGCAAAACCAAAGAGCAGGTGTGTGGACCACTTGAGGCCCACAGGTCATCTGTTTTTGGCATGTGATCTGGAGGTTGGACAAGATTTCATGGATGGAGCCCGAAGGGAGGAGAGCAGAGATGGAAGGGAGCCCAGGGACACCTACAGTGGGAGCTGGTGGTAGGAGAGAAGGCGGCCAGAGCCATCCCACTGCCACGGGACAGCCCAGAAACCTGGGACAAGCCCCCTCCCATCTCCCCACCTTCTGTTGTCCCTTCCCTCCCTCCAGGGCGAAAGGTGGGGACCAGGCGCAGAATCCAGAACCACAAGGGCCTAAAGAAAACACAGTTGGTGAGGAAACAGCTATCTGGTTAAACACAAGTAGTTCCAAGCTCTGTGGCCTTTTAGAGCGTTTCCTTGGGTCGCATGGTGTCCCATGTCCCCTGATAGACTTCCCCGCCAAACCGAGAATAAGCATCGAGTTTCCATGCACGAAGCCGCACGCCCTCCTGTGTGAGAGCCATACTCTACTCTCACGAAAAAGAAAATGTATTCCTTTCAGCTCACCTCCCGGTCCAACAGCGCAGGTGACACGACAGTGACAATGTCTCCTTTCTCAGGATCGATGTAGAACATGTTGGGAGACGGCTTGTCAGGCGTCTGCTGGCGAATATTATACCGCAGGAGGGCATTATCGGTGGCCGGGTCATCCGCATCAAAGGCTGTCATCCGCATCACCGTCGTCCCTACGGGGACATGACAGAAGGGCAGGGGACGGTTACTGAGAGGGCAGCGACAGTCAGGGCCCCTCTCCGCCTGGGCATGGTAGTGGGGAAAGGTGCCAATCACTTTCTAAATTTAAAAAAGAAAGCATCTCCTGAGCTCTGCTCGGTTTTAGCACCCCCCGCCCCCATCACATTTAAAGACGTGAAATCAAGCCATCTCCGCTGCTCTGCGGAGTGACGGCTTCAGTTTCTGCTGAGGTGCTGCGTGTTTCCATGGCTGTCCTTCCACGGTGGATGTGGCTCTGGGATGACAACCCTCATTTTAAAAGCTCTTAATGAATGTCTACTGTGTGTGTCCTTCACTGGGTGTTGGGAAAACGGAGGCTCAAAAGGGCACATTCTGGCCCGACTGCAGTCGTACATGTGTAAGGCTTCCCTGTACAGTCCCAGAGCTGTGAGGAGGGCCTGGGCTCTGTTCCCAGGTCAACCGGAACGCCTTGGACACACCTGCCACCCTGCGGTGATCCTGGCTAGCTGGAAGTCAGTGGGGAGGGCTGATTGTGGCATGACGATACCCTTTAAGGGGTCCCTGAAAGAAACTTTTTTTTTTTGAGATATTTTTGTCTTAGGGCATGTACACTCACTGGAGAGAGAGACAGACATGGTGAGAGACAAAGTGAGAAATCACCCCCTAGGGGGGATGGCCACCTGCAGTCCATTCTCCTCCCAGGATCTTGGACACACACGCATATACGCCTGGTGTGCGTTTCAAGCCACCAGGTCTGGGAGTTGAGCTGCGGTCAGTCATGTGGGAGTCCAGCAACTTAAACTCTATGCCATCAGCTGGCCCCAAAACATCTTTTAAAAAGGCACGTTTCCTGGTGTCCCGGGGCTTGGATATGAGTAGGAGAGAGAAGCACTCTAAAAGGTGAACACAAGGGATCAGGAGGTGGCATAGTGGTTCTGTTGCTAGACTCCTACATGGCCAACTGCATTCAAGTCTTGGACCTCGCAGCATAAAGCTCATGTCGGGCAGGTGGGTGTGTGGGCGTGTGCGCCCAAAATCCCGAGAGGAAAATGGAGGAAGAGGGCTTACAGTGTGACCATCCCCTGTCCCTATCAGGGGTGGTGATTTTTCGCTTTCTGTCTCTCTGGTGAGTACATGGATGCTATAGCAAAAATCTCTCTTAAAAAAAAAAAAAAGAAAGAAAAAAGAAAAAGGCAGTACCAATAGACACATGGTCTAGACTGGGGAGGTTTTCCTGCTGGTCTTGACCATAAACAGTGTGGCCATCACACCTGCTTCAGGGAGGGTGAGCTGCCTCACCACAATCTCTCACCGTGGTGTGCTCTTCTCTGTGTTCAGGGTCTCACTTTCTGATTCTGAACCTTTCACACTGCGTGACCTAACTGGGTAGAGACCAAAGCAGCAGACCTCCAGTGTCCAGCAGAAATATTCCTACACAGAAAGTACTGAGGCCTAACGGACACACAGAATTCCTCCAACCTGACCATCATGGCAGCTTGCCCTTCCCGTACATAAAAGCGCTTCTCCAATCAGCAAAGCCAGTTTATGTTTTCCCCACAACTGGAATCCAACGATCAGCCATTAGGCTTGATTGATGAGGTAAACAAGGGGAACGTGGCCACCTTAAAGATTGGATAGATTTATTAAGTAGTCTAGGTTAACTTTGCCAGAGTGGCCCGCCAGCCAGATGCTTCATGTGCACCCTGCCTTCTACCTTGTCTGTGTGCCCTGTGACAATGTTGCAGGGCCAGCTTCTGAGTCCAGTGCAAGGAGAATTGGCATGTGCAGCTCCCTTGCCTCTGGAAGATGGCAGTAAATATGGCACTGTTTCCCACTGAGCCACACCACAGAACTGGGCTTCTCAAGCCAGTGGTTCAGGCAGCCACCTTCGGTCCTCAGGGTGGGGAAATGACACCTATTTGCCTTTCTAATCTAGGAGTTCAGGCCCCCTTGAGGGTGTCCATCAGAAACCAGGGAGATTTCGGGCCCATGAGCTCACCCAGGGATGTGCTGCTTATGAGGTCCTTGTGCACAAAGGCCTAGCAGAAGAGCAGGAGGCGTCAACTCCCTCCACTCTGCACCAGCCTCAGGTTACTGTATTTGACCCCAGCCTTGCATTTAGTTAGAGTCTAATGAGTGCTCGATTGATCGAATCTATGCCCTATTTAATCTGACTTTAATTGAAGTCATACATGACCAAGAAAAAGCAAAAAAATAAAAAATGAAGTCATCATGACACATGCATTAAAATGATTAAAAAAAAATAAAGACCAGTGAGGTGAATAAGTCTTTAGTTTTAACTTGGAAATTCATTCAGAATATCTTTTTTTTTTCTTTTTTTAAAGATTTGACAACATGACTTAACAAAAGATCATCCTGGAATATTCCCAAGCTTACACAAAGCTGTTCATTTTCACGGATTGCTAGGCAACAAGCGAGCTTGGTCTGAGGCCCTGACTTTGGCTTACCTCAAACATGAGTATGTATCTGGACTCACTTCTGAGTAAATCCCACCTCTCTGGAGACTACATAGTGCCTAACTCATGTCCATAGATTTGCAGCACTGAAGGAAATGCCTCTGGACTCACATGCCAGGGTTCGAGTCTTTGCTAACTGTGTGACCTTGTGCAAGTTACTCTCTCCAATCCTCAATTTCCCCATTTGAAACATGAGGATATTAGTGATAATTTCCTCTGTGGTCATGGTGAGGATTTATGGGATTACTTATTTAGAAGACTTTGTGCAGCACCATGAGTGTTCAGAGAAGGATGCTGTTGATGACCAATCCCTGCCGAGTTCTGAGCCCATCACGGCACTGCAGGCAACAGTCTCAGACAGGGAGCCAAGACTGAGGTCACCCTGAGGACTCCGACCCTGGATAAGTCCAGCTGCCCTTCCCTCTGAACTTCCTGCCTCACCCTCTCCCTTCCACTTGCCCACAGTCTGCAGACTTGGGTTTCTGCTGTGGAGATCACAACTTTACATGGGCACACATGTGTACACATGTCCATGTGCAATCATAGTTTTGTCATCTCCATAGCTTCTCCATGGGGACTATGATCTTCCTATAGGATCAAGGATGCCCCTGAATCCCAGCTCATCTGAGAGCCCAAATGCCTGCTTAGCTCTTGCCAGCTTTCCTGGAGGGTGGACCATGGTTTTCTTCCTTCCAGATCCTGCAATGCTTGGGTAAGTCTCCTAATAGGAAGGGTTCTGCAATGGCTGGGTAAGCCTCTTAAACCAACATTTCCCAAATTGGATCCAAGGAACTCTGGTTCCAGGGACTCAGTAGAGAAACAAGTTTGGGAAATATGCAGCAAACGTGGTGAAACAGGTTTCCTTCCACCTCGGGAGAACTTAGAACTCTGTTCCTCTACAAAGCAAGCACATAATGTCAGTCTCTGAGAGTAGAATGTGCAGCATCTCCCTAACTTGGCTGCTGATAGAACCCTTCATTTAAAGAACATCTTTATGTGATGGTCTGCATGGTCCTACATTTGACCTCCTGAAGGATTCTGCTGGTGTTCTGTTCATTTTTGTACTCCCTGTGTCACACAGTCCGTCCTCATCAGTGTTGAGTTGGACTGTGTCCTTACAGGCCACTGGCCTGGAGCTGTTTCACTACCAAGCGTGTTCACCTCCCCCTCTGAGCTCTTCGTTCTATGCTCTTGGTGGCCAGCACTGGAATTGGATTCAGGGATCGAGCTAGAGCTGACATTCAGCAGGCAGCACCAGTGTAGCTGTTTCCACTGCCCATGGGTGGTGCCCCTTGCCCAAGCCAAAGCCTGGACTCCAGGGAGGCCTCAGCCATTTCCACCAGCCCAGACAGCACCCCAGCCATGCTGTCCTGTGCCTAGGCAAGCTACTGGATGGCAGAGAAAGATCATTATATGGCAGGCCTGCACTGGGCCCTCACGCAGTACAGTTCTGTCCTCTCCCTCATCAAAATATTCTAAGTGTCAAAATAAATGATAATTGTCCTGTCACTCCCAGAGCTGGATGAACTAGAGGCCCCTCTGAAGCAGAGTAGAAGAATTACAGGTTGCTAGTTCAAAGTCTCACGTCAGGCCGTCATTTCCTTTTGTTGAAGGACGTGGTAGCCACCTGACAGGCTGATTAACAATCACGATTGCCTTGTCTTGGTCAGACAGTCCCTTCCTCTCGGCGGCAGCTCTCTGATTAAAGACAAGTGCTGCCTGGTATCGTGACCTTGAGAGCTGGTGTTTGAAGTTTTGCTTCCCTGCAACTTCAAGCACAGCCGAGTCCTTGAGAAGCCGAGAGCTGATCTGACAGTGAGGGGCTGTTTCCAGCCAGCCTCAAGGGGGAAGACGCCAAAAGATGGCTCGCTCCGCTCCACAGGTGACAAAATTATTCTGTTCTTGAAATTTCTTCGACTTCATCCCAAAGCATTTCCTTTGCCTGATCAAAAAATGGAAGGCTCCTATTTTTCTTTAAGTCCTAACCCCATAAGCGAATCACATGTTGAGATAAAGATGTTCAGGTCTATATTTGGCACTGGAGTTCCGATCGCATACAGTTAGAGCAACTGTATTGTTATTATTTTTTTTTGCGAGAGAGATTTTTGTTATAGGGTATGTGCACTGGCTGGGGAGAGAGAGAAAGATGAAGAGAGAGAAAGTGAAAAATCACCCTCAGGGCGGGGGTGGTCATGCCACAGTCCCTTCTCCATTCCCGTCTCGGGATTTGGTGCATGCATGCACATGCACCCAGCATGAGTTCCAAGCTGCCAGGTCCAGGACTCAAACTGTAGTCAGCCATGTGGGCGTCCAGCAACTTAAACACTATGCCACCTGCTGGCCCTGCGACTGTATTCTTTCCAGGTAATAGTGAAACAAATATGAACAAAGACAGAGCCCTCACCAAGTGAACATATCACCTGAAAGCATTAAATTTGGGAGAGGATTCCACCCAAACGACAATTTCCGGGACTGAATTAGCTCAGAGATGTGCCTCGAAGTTTACTGAAAGAGAA